TGCCAATTAAAATACCATTGTCAATTCAAAGAAAAACAAAACTAAAATTCATTCAGTTCTAACATATTAATTTCAAATCATTAGACTATGATTCCTCTCTTGAAATTGAAGGAACAGGTCATTTAAAACAACCTAAGTAACAAACTATTAAGAAACAGAATTTAAAACAATCTGCTCTTTCTCCTAAATAAAGGAGTATTGAATGAAATGATATTTGACATTTGCTTTTAAAATACTCCAACAAAGGTATCGAGTGCTGCGCGAATAGAGTGTCGTCTGAGAGGTCTGGACCAGCGGGTCTCGGGAAAGCATCAAGATGCCTTTGGCTAGAGATTTACTACATCCATCCTTGGAAGATGAAAAGAATAAACAAAAAGCAACAGCTAGTTCAAAGTCCAAACTCTTATTTTATGGATGTAAAATGTCCAGGTTGCTACAAGATTACCACAGTTTTCAGCCATGCTCAGACAGTGGTTCCTTGTGTAGGTTGTTCAACAGTGTTGTGCCAGCCAACAGGAGGAAAAGCCAGACTCACAGAAGGGTGTTCGTTTAGAAGAAAGCAACACTAATGATCTACACAACTTTCTGAATTTGTGTTATCTCACAGAAAGCCTTATCATAAGTTCAGTAATTCTAGTTAATCTACCAAAATAATTATATTTGATTTTGTAAGGTATATAACAGTGATTTCCTATTTTGGTGTCAGTTTTTCAATAAAGTTTTGATTATGAGTAAAAAAAAAAAAATACTCCAACCAAAAAAGTTAGATGAGGCCAGGCGTGGTGGCTCAACCTGTAATCCTAGCACTCTGGGAGGCCAAGGCGGGTGGATCGTTTGAGCTCGGGAGTTCGAGACCAGCCTGAGCAAGAACAAGACCCCATCTCTACTAAAAATAGAAAGAAATTAGCTGGACAACTAAAAATATATATAGAAAAAAATTAGCCGGGCATGGCGGCGCATGCTTGTAGTCCTAGCTACTCGGGAGGCTGAGGCAGGAGGATCGCTTGAGCTCAGGAGTTTGAGATTGCTGTGAGCTAGGCTGATACCATGGAACTCTAGCCAGGGCAACAGAGTGAGAGTTTGTCTCAAAAAAAAAAGTTAGATGAAACAAGACTGGCAAAATTATAACATGGGGGGACATAAGTGTTACATGGTGGGCACATAAGTGTTTATTAGTTAGTCTCTCTTCCCTTCTATATATTTGAAATGTCCTTTTAAAAAAAGAAAATTAAATGTTTCCAAAGTTCTGCTCCCATAAGAACTCTAACGAACCAAGAGAAGTATAGCTTGGTACATGTCCTATAAACAGTAAAAGAGGCCGGGCCCGGTGGCTCACGGCTGTAATCCTAGCACTCTGGGAGGCCAAGGCGGGTGGATCCCTCAAGGTCAGGAGTTCGAAACCACCCTGAGCGAGACCCCGCCTCTACTAAACTAATTGACTAACTAACTATATATATATATATATATATAATATTATATATATATGTATACATACATACACACACAAAAAAATTAGCCAGGCATGGTGGGTGCATGCCTGTAGTCCAGCTACTCGGGAGGCTTGAGGCAGTAGGATCACTTGAGCCCGGGAGATTAAGGTGCTGTGAGCTAGGCGCCGCCACGGCATTCACTCTAGCTGAGCAACAAAATGAGACCTGTCTCAAAAAAAAAAAAAAAAAAAAAAAAACTAGTAAAACAGAGATTTAAACAGTAAACAGAGAACTAAAAAAATTCAGACAGAACTCCAAATGCTAAGATGCTACACAAAGGTGTTAGTCTTTTCACAGGAGTGCTTAACTCTGAGAAACTACTAAGGCCAAGCACCAGAAGGTTGGGTTACTGCTCAAGTTACTTTTCTGGGTAACACACACACACTCGAGATCTGGCTACCTGAAGTTACCAAAGATCTAAGATGCTTTTCATACTAAAAGAGAATTTAACCTCGACATTCTTAGCAATAAATGTTAGGCGGTGGTACATTTAAACACTGAACATTCCTTCCTGCCCTACAGGACAATTCCCAACTTTGACAGGAAAATGTTTTGAACACTGCGATCAATCATTAAGGCAATACTTTTCGTTTAGAATAATTCTTCCCTCCTTAACAGAATACTTCCAGAACTGTCTTAAAATATGGAGCACCGACGGGCGTGGTGGCTCACGCCTGTAATCCTAGCACTCTGGGAGGCCGAGGTGGGCGGATTGCTCGAGGTCAGGAGTTCAAAACCAGCCTGAGCAAGAGCGAGACCCTGTCTCTACTATAAATGGAAAGAAATTAATTGGCCAACTAAAAATATATACAAAAAAAAATTAGCTGGGCATGGTGGCGCATGCCTGTAGTCCCAGCTACTCGGGAGGCTGAGGCAGAAGGATCGCTGAGCCCAGAGGTTTGAGGTTGCTGTGAGCGAGGCTGACACCACGGTACTCACTCTAGCCTGGGCAACAAAGCGAGACTCTGTCTCAAAAAAAAAAAAATATGGGAGCACTGTTTACAGACTACAGAGTTGTAGCAACAACTGAAATTGCATTTTTTCTCTAGTATGACATCAATGATCTAGGTTCCTTAGTTCAATATAATTCTAGTTATCAATTCTTATATGAATGACATTGGTTATTTCCAGTTTGAGCTATTATGAATAAGCTATTATGAACATTCATGTACAGTTCTTCAGTAGATCTAAGCACTTATTTCTATAGAGTATATGCCGAAATAAAATACTGCATAATAGGGTACATGTATGTTTAGCTTCGTAGATATTCCAGTTTTTCAAAGTGGTTGTACCATTATACTCCTAGAGCACTGTGTGAGAGTTCTAATTGCTCCATATTGTCAGTCCCTTTTAATTGTAATTATTCTAGTAGAAGCTGGTTGGCTTAAGACTCCCTAATAAAACAGGAAAAAAATCTTTCTGAATTATCAAAAGTTAGTATAGGTTGGACACATTGGCTCACACCTATCATCCCAGCACTTTGGAAGGCCAAGGCAGATCACTTGAGCCCAGAGCTCAAGGTTACAGTAAACTATGATCAAACCACTGCATCCCAACCTGGGCAAAAGAGTAAGACCCTGTCTCAAAAAAGTTAGTATAGTAGTTACTTCTAGTAGGGAGGGGGTTATGATGAGAGTGAGGCAAAAGGGATCTCTGGAATGCTGGGTATGTTCTATTCTTACTCTAAATAGTGATTATAAGGTATTTTAAAACTGTATCTGAATTATGTGATACTCTGCAATTTCTAAGGAATATGTCTGAAAAGGGTTGCTCTTGAGACACTCTCTCACCTCTTCTTTCTTCTCACACTTCTTTAGGACAACCTCATAGAGAGAGAGGCTACCCTACTCTTCCCTGCCTCCTGAAGTCTATAAAATTAAATGTTTGCAAAACATATAGAGAAAGCTCAAACAAATTCAAATTCACCTTAAAGTCACTGGTATTAAAACCATGTCCACAGTATAGAAACATAGACTTTGCATTATTCACCTTTCAACAAATTTCTGCTTTTTTTTTTTTGAGACAGTCTCACTTTTGTTGCCTAGGCTAGCGTGAGTGTCATGGCATCAGCCTAACTCTAACTCCTGGGCTCAAGCGATCCTTCTGCCTCAGCCTCCCGAGTAGCTGGGACTACAGGCATGTGCCACCATGCCCGGCTAATTTTTTCTATATATATTAGTTGGCCAATTAATTTTTTTATTTATAGTAGAGACAGGGTCTCGCTCTTGCTCAGGCTGGTTTCGAACTCCTGACCTGGAGCAATCCGTCCGCCTCAGTCTCCCAGAGTGCTAGGATTACAGGCGTGAGCCACCACGCCCGGCTATTTTCTGCCTTCTTTAACGCTCTTTAGTTTCAACAAACAACATAAGTCCATACACCAACACCACAACCATCTAGCTCCTGGTTGCCACTCCTCACTGTCCCTGCTCTACCTAGGAACTACATGAAACAGCAGGGAAGCAGAAAAGGGAGACACTATCTGTAATCTACCACTCATCTACCTATCAAGAAACTCCTCAAGTAATTACTACCAGTTTCTAGTAGAAAATGATAAAAAACATGAGAGAATGTATGTGTTGAGTCCATGAATGCATGTTGGTATGTACTAAGGAGAAAGTGAAATGAGGTATAGTAAACAGAATAAAATCATCTCAACTATCACTATCCCCTCTAACTCCATCCCCTCTTATCCACATCCTAGTTCCTTCCCTCCCCTAAAGCTCTGCTGCCACTGATCCTGTGCCAGTGTTCAGAAGACCCCATTCTACAGAGGTCTCGGCTCCAACCTCCAGAAACTACCAATAATCTAGAGATGTGGGAGTTCTCACTTCTGCTGCTTTATAGGTATGAAAAGAGAGGACCAATCACCATGTATGCTACCAGTTCTCTGTGTGAGTTTTCCCAGAGTTATCTTTACAAAGAATAATTGGGGGCGGGGGTGGTGGCTCACGCCTGTAATCCTAGCACTCTGGGAGGCCGAGGCGGGCGGATCACTCAAGGTCAGGAGTTCGAAACCAGCCTGAGGAAGAGTGAGACCCCATCTCTACTAAAAAAAATAAAGAAATTAATTGGCCAACTAAAATATATATAGGAAAAAAAAGAATAATTGGATAATTCTAAGATATTATTAATACTGCCTTATAAATATGATAGATTACAAGCTTTTGTGGGATTAATCTGAAAGCCTACACAGAATCAAAAATATGGTGTATATGCAAAAGTGTTCCAAGCTCCAACCAAATGATTAACAAAAGAATTTTTAGAAATCAAATTGTTTTATGTTGGGTACTAAGTTACACTCACTAGCCCCAACTTCTGGGGCTAATATTTCTTATCCTTTTTTTAGAAAGGACAAAAAATCCTAAATGACCAGCACACAGTCTACACTAATGCTCTTAATTTCTAAAATATACATTTTAAGAAACATTCAATGTATTAATCTGTAGTAAATGGAAATGGTCTTTTCAGTAACTTCTATGATTAATGTGACAATAAAGAGGTCATGTTCACCTTTCCTTTTGAGAAATCACGTATCCATCTAGGACTCTGAGGTTTAAGCACCAGCTGACAATGTATGGCCGATAGTCAAACCCAGGAATGGAAGGTGTTGCCATCACACAAGGATTGTTCATGATCGACAACTGTTCCAATTCAGTTAAGGATGTCAAAAAAGAGATCTGGAACAAAAGATATCTTTGTTGAAAAAAATGGACTATTTGGTGTCAAGCACAGGGCTTCCGCTGATTACACATCTTTGGCAACATTTGAGAATGCAACAATTTCCCTCTTGTTCTGAAAAGTGACAAGTATCTTCTACTATCCACTGACTTCCAAAGTTCCAACAATATAGCCATCTGTCCCTGCTACACAAAATCCCTTAGAAAGTATAACACTGTTTCATAGCAGAGAAACTCTATTTTGAAAACATAATAGCAGCAAGGTTGATAGGATACCTTATTAATCACTGTAATATAGATGTAGCCCTACCACCAATCACCTGCCAATGGAATAACAATTGTAGCATCACAAATGAAAATAAGCCTTAATGACCTACTGACATTAAGGAAAAGTAGAAAGAAAACTAATGATCATCTAGAGCCAAGTGTCTCATCTGAATGGCAATTTCTCCCAAGATGCTCACAGTTTAAAAGTAAGCTCACAACACTCTCCTGTGTCTCTCCTAGACTTTCCAGCTTCCTAGTTCCCACAGAATACCCTCAAATTTTACCTCATTTAAGTCTCGGATTTCATTTTCTGCCAAAGAAAGTATAGCAAGACTTCTGGGTAGATAAGCAGGTGCCATTCTAAGAGAGGTGATGATGTTTCCATGTAAAAGCAGGGTCTTGAAAGTAAAAACAGTATGAATTACAAATGAAAAGATTATAATTAAGTTGATCTATTGTGACAACATCCAAAATGGTGTGTACGAATAGAGATCTATTTTTTTATACTTCTCATCATATACAAATGAAAGATTATTAATGCTAGAAGGGTCCTAGGTGATCTTCTGGTTTAACTCTTTCATTTTATGCCAGCATCATCATAAGCTCAAGTAAGTTTAAAAATTTGGGCCAGGCATGGTAGCTCACCTCTGTAATCCTAGCACTTTAGGAGGCCAAGATGGGAGGATTGCTTGAGGTCAGGAGTTCAAGACCAGCCTGAGCAACATAGCAAGATCCCATCTCTACAAAAAAATAGAAAAATCAGGCCGGGCACGGTGGCTCACGCCTGTAATCCTAGCTCTCTGGGAGGCCAAGGTGGGAGGATTGCTCAAGGTCAGGAGTTCAAAACCAGCCTGAGCAAGAGTGAGACCCCGCCTCTACTAAACTAATTGACTAACTAACTATATATATATATATATATATATATATATATATATATATATATATATACATACATACACACACAAAAAAAATTAGCCAGGCATGGTGGGTGCATGCCTGTAGTCCCAGCTACTCGGGAGGCTTTGAGGCAGTAGGATCACTTGAGCCCGGGAGATTAAGGTTGCTGTGAGCTAGGCTGCCGCCACGGCATTCACTCTAGCTGAGCAACAAAATGAGACTCTGTCTCAAAAACAAAAACAAAAAAACTAGTAAAACAGAGATTTAAACAGTAAAACAGAGAACTAAAAAAATTCAGACAGAACTCCAAATGCTAAGATGCTACACAAAGGTGTTAGTCTTTTCACAGGAGTGCTTAACTCTGAGAAACTACTAAGGCCAAGCACCAGAAGGTTGGGTTACTGCTCAAGTTACTTTTCTGGGTAACACACACACACTCGAGATCTGGCTACCTGAAGTTACCAAAGAATCTAAGATGCTTTTCATACTAAAAGAGAATTTTAACCTCGACATTCTTAGCAAATAAAAGTTAGGCTGGGTACATTTAAAACACTGAACATTCCTTCCTGCCCTATAGGACAATTCCCAACTTTGACCAGGAAAATGTTTTGAACACTGCGATCAATCATTAAGGCAATACTTTTCGTTTAGAATAATTCTTCCCTCCTTAACAGAATACTTCCAGAACTGTCTTAAAATATGGGAGCACTCGACCGGGCGTGGTGGCTCACGCCTGTAATCCTAGCACTCTGGGAGGCCGAGGTGGGCGGATTGCTCGAGGTCAGGAGTTCAAAACCAGCCTGAGCAAGAGTGAGACCCCGTCTCTACTATAAATAGAAATAAATTAATTGGCCAACTGATATATATATATAAAAAAAAAAAAATTAGCCGGGCATGGTGGCGCATGCCTGTAGTCCCAGCTACTCGGGAGGCTGAGGCAGAAGGATCGCTCGAGCCCAGGAGTTTGAGGTTGCTGTGAGCTAGGCTGACGCCACGGCACTCACTCTAGCATGGACAACAAAGCGAGACTCTGTCTCAAAAAAAAAAAAATAGAAAAATCAGCCAGACATGATGGCATGCGCCTGTAGTCTCAGCTACTTGAGAGGCTAAGGCAGGAGGATAGCTTGAGCCCAGGAGTTTGAGGTTGCAGTAAGCTATGATGATGCTGCTGTACTATAGCCCAGATGACAGAGTAAGACCCTGCCTCAAAAAAAAAAAAAAAAAAAAAAGACTTGTCCAAGAACATATGCTTGGCATAGTAACTAGGCACGCAGTGAGATTTAAGTTATTAGACATTGAGCAATTTCTAACTCGTTTGTTCATTTCCTTTTAAAACATCAAAATAGAAGATGAGAAGAGTTGGGGGAAAGTGATTAAAACAATTATAAAGCAAATTTTCCAAAAAAGAAAGAAAGAGATAACCCAGAACCCATAATTTGCAACTGCACTCTCTTGGAAGCTAAAAGTTAAAGGAAGGTAGAATGTGCTACTTGCAGATGAAGCTGACTCACAGTAAGTCAGCAATAATCAAGAACAAACCCAAGACTCCAAACACACAGAATTCTGATCAGATAATCATGCCTCCATTCCACAAAACAATAAAACAAAATATTCAATCATCTTTAGTTCATTTGAATTCCCTTGGCATCTATCAGGACAGCATTTGGCTACATCAAATTGTTTAGACTAATTGCTGCTAAAAATGATTTCTGTTAACAGCCTATGAAAAACTCAGCTAAGATACTGCTTCTAAGGCTTAATGAGTCCATATGATGCTAATAATACCCAATGAAGCAAAAATATAGAAAAAACCCTACATATGTTTTTCAAAGCTGTGATTCTAACTGTTACTTATTTGATTGCATGATATATCCCTCACCATAAAACCTAAACAATATTTGTACCCCTATAATATGATGAAATTTTTTTAAAAAGTGCTATATGCTATATGTTTATTTTTTAACATGAAATAATTTTGATAATTAAGTAATATCTTTACTAAAAAAAAAAAAGCAATCCTGAGTGTCAAAAAAAAACAGACTCAAATTCAAAAATGATTACTCTCAACCGTACCAACATGTTATATACTAGGTAACCAATGCTACTAGCATTGCCTGGTTGGGTATGAAGTGAATTTCATCATGTTCAGAGAATGGTAAATAAGAATTAACATTAACTACAATGACCAGTTTCACATAAAATAAACCAGTTATAGAAACTAACAACAAAAAGTTCAATACTTAATTTCTGGTATTCTAACAGAATTCTTATCACAATGAAAACAATCTATTCATATATGGCAGATTGGATTTAGGAAAATAAGATCATTTTCTCTTGGTATTTTGTTATAAAGTTTGACAAATGACACAGAAAACAAGATTACCTTCAGGGATACCAATTTTGACAGATCACCTATTTGGGGTATGTTGTTGTCTGATAAATCAAGGTGATGTAGAGCTGTGCAGCAATTGATCTGTTCCATGGCCTATCACAAGAAAAGTATCATATTATTCAATGCAAACAAAATCAAAAAATGAAATTCTTCTCTACCTCCCTGTAGCTAAAAAAGTCTCTTGCCACCTCTCATTTTTGAAAGCAGAGCAGCAGAGCTTAACAAGAGAAAGGAGATGCAGTAGTAACAGAATTTAATTGCAAGCTTCTGCCCTCATTATCCCTCTATGAGTAGAGGACTACCAAGTGGTTCATACCATTCCAGATATTTACAGCTTGAAGAAACCTTAGAGATGACATATAACAGTATGTCATATGTATAGAACAGAGTTTACAAGTTTTTTTTTTCCTTGTTTTTTTTTGAGACAGAGTCTCGCTTTGTTGCCCAAGCTAGATTGAGTGCTGTGGCGTCAGCCTAGCTCACAGCAACCTCAAACTCCTGGGCTCAAGCAATCCTGCTGCCTCAGCCTCCTGAGTACCTAGGACTACAGGCATGTGTCACCATGCCCGGCTGATTTTTTCGAGCAATCCGCTCCGCCTCGGCCTCCCAGAGTGCTAGGATTACAGGTGTGAGCTACAGCCCCCCGGCTGAGTTTACAAATTTAGAGTGAAGCTACACAGCGTAGATTTAAATCCTGGTGCTGCAACTTCCTGGCTGTGTGACCTTGGGCAGTTACTTAACTTGTCTGTGCTTCCTCGTCTATATAATGGGCATAGTATCTATACCTATGTTATAGCATTATCTTATAAGATGTCATGAGATTGGATGAGTTAATACAGATAAATGTGTAGAACAGTACCTAGCATAAATTAATTGCTCAATAAAAGGCAGTTATTAATATCATTTAATCTAGTCCCCTCACTCAGCATGCCAAAATAATAATAAGACAACGAAGAAGAAGACACAAAACTACTAGTTAACTTACCCCAAATTATCTAGTGACAAAGTAGTGGAAGTAGCACTAGAATCCCAATATCCTGACTTTTAAAACAGTATATTCTCCATTATATCATTAAACATATCTTAGAGCTTAATTCATCATGATATAGTCGCCCTCCTAACTATTCTACAGTTCAATTTGCTTTTTTCTAAATATAATATAGATTATTTGTTCACATTTAAGTGTATTATGCTGCATTATATGTTTGAAAATGAGATATTTTTTAGTTTATGTTAATAGAGATTATCCCTGGGGAGTGGGTACTCTCACTTTTTATTTCTACTTTTTTCCTGTACTGCTTGAATTTCTTTTTTACACAGAACAGTTTTGTAATTAAAAAAAAATCTACTCACTAAAAAAAGCCAAACAAACCACCATTCACCTTAAGATTATTTCCTGCCAAATTCAGCCATTCCAAATGTACTAGTTCCTTTAGTCCTTCCACATAGCCAATGCTATTATGAGGTAAATTCAGTACACGGAGTTGAGTCAGTTTTGCCACACCCATCATACGTACCAGCCGATTATTAGCCACTGATAACTGTGAAAAAGAAACATGGCATTATTTTTAGGAACAAAATGTATAACATATATGATGTTACTTTCACTTACAGTGCTTAAAAGGGTTTGTTTAGACAGCCAAACATTTCCAAACATAGAAGCCCTTTTTGTAGTTTTCACATATGTTGTCTAAATATTCTACAGCATGACTATCTATTTTTTATTGTTCCTAAACAATAGGAAATAAGGAAATACAGACAAAGCTGAACCATCAGACTTCCTCCAACTTCTAAAGATGTTTTTAACATAGCAACACCTTGAGAATGTAAGCTCTACACTTACACTCCTTATACTCTTTCAGTCAAAACCTAAACAGTGCTAGACATATAAGAGGTAGTCAATAAACATTTCTTGAATGAATGAACTCTTTACATCCATCATGAGGTAAAAGGTTATCTTAGCAACATAATATCTTGCCAACATAAAATGGTTTCTTTTTTTATTTAGCAATGCTTCCTTTTCCAATCTACTTTAAATGTAGCACATATATGTTCATTCTTAGAATAAACTATCATGTAAAAATCTAAGGCAACATGTACTGCTTTTCAGGCCTACAAAATTACTTTTTGTCAGGTAATTTTATTGTTTTATCGTGTTTAATAATAAACTGGTCCTATGTAACCATTTCCCAGATAGCAATTAATACCTACCTGTATTAAGCGTTTGCATTTCTCCAGATTTTCCAATTTAATGATCTGATTTTTATCCAAAATCAAAGTGTGAATATCAGCTTCACAAGGTAAATTTGGACCTAATTTCTGCAGTCCTTGCCCTGACCAATTGACCACTGATCCTTGAAAAGAGAAGGAAATTTGTTAGAAAACACAAACAAAACAGCTTAGCATGGGGATGAAATTATACTCATAAAATCTCTATATACATTTCAAGTTAGAAAATAGTAGAGCCTAATAAATAGCAAGATTTTAAACCTAAAGCAATCTTGAGTTCTAGATGACCAGATTTAATTATTAACTTTTCCTCATAAGTATCAAACTGGAACTAGACTTATGATATTCTATGCAAGTTTCTATGATATAATACTTTGAATTATTCACATTTAAATAAAAACTACTACTACCATATTTTATGCCTAAGTAAAGAGAACATTTTTTAAATGGAACTAAACTTTTGTTAGAGATCAACCTGCTTACAACCTAACAGTATATCCTAAAGTGCCCCACCTATTTTGATAATTCAGTTAATTCATCTATAAAATAGAGTAACACATCTATTTCACTAGGTTGATGTGATGATTAAAAGAGAAATCATATGAGCAACACTTAGCCCTGTTCCTGGCACAAGGCACTCAATAAAGTAGTTTAGTGTAATAGACTTTCAAATCCTAGCTCCACCAGTTAACCACTGAGGTATCTTGGGCAAGTCATTGATTTCATTTGGGCTCATTTTTCTACTCTGCAAAATGGAGATAATATCTGCTTTATAAATGTTGGTCTACAGAGAAAATGAGAAAAGCACTCAGAATATCGTCTGGTTCATTAAAAGTGCTCTATAAATGTTAACTGCTATTACAGTCTCGTAACTAGCTTTGGTGGGCTAGAGAGGTGGAGTTTAAGAATAGCCGATATCGAAGGGGGCGGGGCCAAAGAAACTGCCAATTTCAAATTTTCACGCAGAATAGGAGTACTACGGGAAATAATTATATGAGATTGCTCTCCTAGAGGGTTTCAACATTTTCCCATTGTCTAACAGCTATTAGTACGTCAGGGGTTATGGGCCTCCCTGAGAATTAGATGAAAAAAAAACAAAACTGTGGTCTCAGAAAATTGTACACAATTCCAAAGGGTCGACAGATTTCTTAGAATCATCCACCAACTCCTCCCCCAAATTAACGACTCCCAGAAAATAAGCCCCAGGTCTAAGCCATGGAGACGGTCCCAACCACCCGATTCAGAGGGCTGCTGCCAAGACGTGGAGACGTAACCAAAACAAAAGGAGGTCACGTCCAGCACCCTAAAGAGGTATCTACCGACCACAGAAGCATATCCCGCGCTCCGCTGGACAGCGACCAAACCCGATCCCAGGACCTGTCTGCAGGAATAGAGAACTGTGGGCTCTGGATCACACCCAAGATTTTATCACGGCCACCAGCCACCTCCAACCAAAGAGTCAAAGCCAGTCTAGCGAGTGGTATCAGAGGGAAGGTTTCCTGAACGTTCTAGGAACCGAGGGGGAAGTGGGATTCGTGAAGTGAAAAAGAGAGATGTTGGAAATTTCGCGTGGGCACCTGAAATTCAAAATAAATGGCCAAGAAGGTCATAGCAGCCTGAAACCCACCGCCTAGCCAAACGCTGGGGGAGCGGGACCCCGGGCTCCGGGCCGCGCGAAGGCCTATGGGGGCTGTAGTCCCGTGCTAGGTTCTCGACGCGACGCTGTAAAGCTGAGCGACGCGCTGGAACTGCAACTCCCAGAAGGCCGCGCGCCTCGGCGATGTCCACGGCTCCGCCTCAAAGACCTGGTCCAGAACTACATCTCTAAACCCAAGCTTCTCCTTTTCTCCAGGCAACTATTTTTTAATTCAGCTTCGTGGAGTAAATCTTGGACTCAGGGGTGGGGATCGCCTTACCTTCTCCAAGAGGCAAAGCCGCGTCCACGCGCGCCACCGCCATAATTGCCTCTTGCTAATACCAGGCAACCGTCCTCCCGCGGCTCTGTGGAGCTTGTAGTCTGGAAGAGGGAGCTGCAAACTATAAATCCCAGGATGCACGGCGCCCAGACGGCCCAATGGGCTGCCTAGCCTAAACATGGGAAACCAGAGTGAGAATCTGAGTGGCGGGGAGCCGGGGTACCCGGGTTCCCTCCCTTAATTTGACAGATGAGCAAACTACATTGTTAGATTATTGTTTCACTCCCTTGTCCAGGAGTTTGCGAAATTTGACACTTTTACCGTTAGGGTAAGGACGCTACTTAATGCAGACCGAATTCGAGAGCTCATTGCTGAAGTCTCTGTGAGGGCTGCCCCTTCTTTTGACAATTATGAATAAGTTGAGTTTTTAACTCCGCTATAGGAATGACTAGAGCGATCTTGTTGAGATAGTCAAAATGGATACCTTGTATTTGAAATTTTTAAGTACTTACAGCATGCTGAAATAAAAAATTTAATAAACTTTTATACGGTATTTTTAAGTGGTTGTTCTTGAATATTTAACAAAACTTTTGATGTGAGGGTATACTTACTAAGTGTGAACCCATAGTTTTTCCAAGGAGTATTCAAAAGAAGTTTAAAACACAGTCTCCAGGCGGGCGCGGTGGCTCACGCCTGTAATCCTAGCACTCTGGGATGCCAAGGCGGGAGGATCCTTTGTGCTCAGGAGTTTGAGACCAGCCTTAGCAAAAGTGAGACCACGTCTCTACTAAAAATAGAAAGAAATTAGCTGGACAACTAAAAATATATAGAAAAAAATTAGCTGGGCATGGTGGCGCATGCCTGTAGTCCCAGCTACTCCGAAGGCAGAGGCAGGATTGCTTGAGCCCAGGAGTTTGAGGTTGCTGTGAGCTAGGCTCACGCCATGGCACTCTAGCCCAGGCAACAGAGCCAGACACTGTCTCTAAAAAATAAAATACAGTCTCCAAACTAAAGAATTACACTACCTACTTGGAAGGGGGCAGACTCACACTTTTGATATAACAATTACATGCTAAATGGTGTGACTTTAACTGAATTCATTAAGATATCAGGGAATGGAGAAAGAAATGGAAACTATAATCTTCAGTGATGACTTGATGGAGGAAGTGAACTGTAGCTAGGGCTTAAAATATGGGTAGACTCTAAGCAGTTCAGGAGTAGAAGATGAAACGACATTAGCAACAGACTGCAGGTAGAAGCAGGTGGTAAATGAAGCTGTGCTCACAGCAAGTGAGAAACTAATCTGATCATACCACAGAATATACAAAGAGAGCTTCCACTTTCTATTACCAACTCCTTCATTTCCTCTTGCAATCTTTATTCTGAACTCCCCTCTTTCTGAAACAGAAATCTCCAAAATCTCTGATAATTTCTGTTTGGGGAAAATGCAGTAATTCACACTTCCAGATTTTCAGGCACTTAATGCTGCTCCTTCTTGGGTTCTTCTGTCTCTCTGACTGCACTTGCCTTAATTCTTGACTCTTGTTTCCTACTGTTTTAGTCTAAAAACAAATTTCCTAGTTATAAAGAGGAAATTAAAAGGATTTTTTCCCTCTAACCAAAAGACTCCCTTATCTAGAGAACACAGTCTTACTATTTGTGTAAGAACAAAACAAGCCTGAATGCTGCTTCTCTCTAACCCCTGTCCCCTGGAATAGGCCATCAGGATTGAAATATCCAGCTAAGGGAGAGAGAAAGGGTTTATAGTTCTCTCCAATTTAGCAAGGTAATGACTTGGGAGGGTGTCCTGGAAACTTAGAGAGTACTTAAGAAGCACAGATTCCTCTAAGGTTATAGCAATCACTGAAACAAAGTTCTGCTGGTTTGTCTGCCCTGGGATCCTGAGGAAAGAACCAAAGAACTCCTTTTTATGGGGATAACTAAGCATAGTCATGACTCTTTAAGAGAGTGGCCAGATGTTCCTGGGTCAAGGTCCCCCAAGTCCATGTAACCCAGCAACTCTTTAAAATCAACACAAAATTTTTGTGCTTCAAATACAACTTTTACATCTAAAATCAGATTGCTTTTTTTTTTTTTTTTTTTTTTTTGAGACAGGGTCGTGCTCTGTCACCAAGGCTAGAAGGCAGTGGTGTCGTCATAGCTCACTGAAACTTCAAACTCCTGGGCTCAAGGAATACTCCTGCCTCAGCCTCTCAAGTAGCTGGGACTACAGACACACATCACCACATCTGACTAATTTTTCTATTTTTTTTTTTTTTGTAGGGGGGGGTCTCACTATGTTGCTCAAGCTGGACTTGAACTCCTAGGCTCAAGCAATTCTCCCACCTTGGGCTCCCAAATGCTAGGATTAGAGGTGTGAACCACTGTGCTGGCCCAAATTGCTACACTTTAATTAAATTGCCTCATTTTCTATATAAGTTAAACTCTACAAGCTCTGACCAAATCAGAGGATTCTACTAATTAAAACTGAACTTCTCAGCAAGGTAGTATTCCTTTGGCAGGTCCAAGCACTACAGGACAGACTTCTGTTCTATCAGCACAGTATACTTGATCCTGACAACAACTGATTACCCTAACTCATCTCTGCCATCTCCAATTCATCTGCCCACTGTTACTGGCATGTTCTAAGTAAAACTATGCCTTTTAGTGTGTTAATCTTCTCCTCAAAAACTTACCACTTGAGCCTGGTGTGGTGGCTCAGGCCTGTAATCCTAGCACTCAGGGAGGCCAAGGTGGGAGGATTCTTTCAGCTCAGGAGTTTGAGACCAGCCTGAGCAGGAATGAGACCCCGTCTCTACTAAAAATAGAAAGAAATTAGCTGGACAACTAAAAACATATAGAAAAAATTAGCTGGGCATGGTGGTGCATTCCTGTAGTTCCAGATACTGGGAAGGCTGAGGCAGAAGCATTGCTTGAGCCCAGGAGTTTGAGGTTGCTCTGAGCTAGGCTGACACCACAGTACTCACTCTAGCCTGGGCAACAAAGTGAGACTCTGTCTCAAAAAAAAAAAAAAAAAAGAAAGAAATTCAACTTTCAAGGGCTACCATAACTGGCCTCACCCTACCTCTAGTTTTCATTTGGTGTTTCTGACTGAGGGATTGATATAATGAAACTTGTGTTTTAGAAAGGTTAGACGGCTCCTATAACAAGGATGAACTGAAAGGTAGAATAGTAACAGGAAGAAAACTACTGTAAAAGTGGTTGATAACCTCCAATACAGCAGTTTCAGGAGAGAAACTGCTTATAAAGAAGTTTAGGTAACATGAAGTTAAGAGATGGGACAGACAAGAAACTGAAACATCTGTGGATGGTGCAATTTACCTTGACAAAATGAAAATGGTTTTCTAATTAGGACTGAACTTATATTTGAAAGAAGTAAATATAATTTTGATGTTTTCATGAATGTTAAAACTAAGAAGTTATTAATATAAAGAATTTTGACACTGTAAAGATTTAGAAAATGTGCCAATGTTTTAAACAACAAAAAATCTTTATGCAAAGGTTTAGGCACATAAAATCAAGCATTTCCTTCCTTGGTTAGTATTCATTAGTAGACTCTTATGGCCATGCTTCCTTATCTATGACCTATGACATGGAAGAAGAGACTGCCAATATAAAGTATCTATTCACAGAAGCCCCAAATGAGATTAACTTTCCTCATTATTATTATTTATCTCCTGCTGTGTGCTAGAGTTTGTGATAACTACTTTACATATATTAATATGACCTCTAATTTTTACAAAATCCCTGCAAGTAGACCCAAGTGTTATGTTATGATTGCCAGATAAATACAGGACACTCAGTTGAATTTGAATTTCAGGTAAATGACAAGTAATTTTTTAGTATAATTCGGTCCAAAATATTCATGTATATTGCAATATATATCTTATGTAATACATGCAATATTAGGACATATTTATATTAAAAAAATATTGTGATATAATTTGGATATTTGTTCCCTCCAAATCTCATGTTGAAACTGGATTACCAATGTTAGAGGCAGGGACTAGTGGGAGGTGTTTAGGTCTTGGGGGCAGATCACTCATGAATGGCTTGGTGACGCCCTTGCCAAAATGAGTGAGTTCTCCTTCTGTTAGTTCCCAGAGACAACTGATTGTTAAAGAGAGCCTGCCACCTCTCTTTCTCTCTCTCTCTCTTGCTTCCTTCCTCTTGGAATGTGATGCCTGCTCCCCTTCCCCTTCTACCATGAGTGGAAGCAGTCTGAGGCACGCACCAGATACAAATGCTTGTACATCATGCTTCTTGTACAGCCTGCAGAACTGTAAGCCAAATAAACCTCTTTTCTTTATGAATTATCTAGCCTCAGGTGTTCCTTTATAACAATGCAAAGACATGTTATTATCCAAAATTCAAATTTAACTGAGCACCTTGTATTTTCATTTGCATTTGTATTGAATTTGCTAATTTCTGGCAACCTAATGAGGTAAATAATTTATTCAAGGACAGACAGAATTTTGAATCTATGTGCAACCACACATTAACACATCCAATAATCTTTTTTTTTTTTTGAGACAGAGTTTCGGTTTGTTGCCCAGGCTAGAGTGAGTGCCGTGGCGTCAGCCTAGCTCACAGCAAACTCCTGGGCTCAAGCAATCCTCCTGCCTCAGCCTGCCGAGTCGCTGGGACTACAGGCATGCGCCACCATGCCCGGCTAATTTTTTCTCTATATATTAGTTGGCCAATTAATTTCTTTCGATTTATAGTAGAAACAGGGGTCTCCGCTCTTGCTCAGGCTGGTTTCGAACACCGGGCCTGGAGCGATCCTCCCACCTCGGGCTCCCAGAGTGCTAGGATTACAGGCATGAGCCACCGTGCCCGGTCACTTCCAATAATTGATTTAAAATATTATTAGTTGCACATCTTATCTTTCTGGTTATAGCCTTAATGAATACATATGTATACGTATATATAATATACTCATTTCTGTGTGTTTAGAATGCATTTTGGAAAGATCCACAAGAAACTGTTAATAGTAGTTACCTAAGGGAAGGGGAAAGGGGAAGTGAATTGATGAGGGACAGAGTTGGGGACACTCTTTTTTTTTTTACATAATATTTTCAATCATATCAATGTAATTATGATTTTTACATTTTGAATGGCTGGAAAAAAATCAAAAGAATAACATTTCTT